ATGAATACAGCAGGCCAAGCAGCATCAGAGGAGCAGGAAAGCTGATGTTTCGGGCCTCGACCCTTGTTATCTCAGATTCTCCAGCATCTGCAGTTCCTACTACCTCCTGTTTGTCTACTTTGGATTCCAGCATCTGCAGTTTTTTTTGTCTCTAACCAAGAATTTCCCTCACCACTTGCTCAAGGTAGATTTGTGGGATCTCTTGCTTGGAGAAAGTTTTATCTAGAAAGACCTTCCTCCAACTGTGCAGCAGTCCCTCAGTACTGCATGGGAGTGTGTACTCAGGGCTCAGGAACAGGGCTTGTATCTGCCTCTGAGCCAGATGCTCCAGGTTAGAGTTACACCCAAATAACTTGACAGTCAGACAGATAAACAGGTTGAGTGTCAACCTGGAAATCCTTCCAACACAAATCGCACAGAAACAGACCCTTTGGTCCAACCAGGCCATGCCGACCATAATCCCAAACTAAACTAGTCCCACCTGCCTGCTCCTGGCCCATCTCCCTCCAAACATTTCTCATGCATGAACTTATCCAAATGTCTTTTAAACGTTCTATCTGTACCTGCATCCACCACTTCCTCTGGAAGTTCATTCCACACATGAGCCACTCCCTGTGCAAAATCGTTGCCCCTCATGTCTTTCTTAAATTTCTCTCCTCTTACCTTCAAAATATGCCCCGTCGTCTTGAAATCCCCCACCCTAGGGAAAAGACTCCTGGCATTCACCTTAACTGGACCCTTCGTGAGTTTATAAATGTCCATAAGGTTACCTCTTAACCTCCTGCACTCCAATGAAAAGAGTCCCAGCCTCTCCTTATAAGTCAAACCCTCCATTCCTGGCAACACCCTGGTAAGTCTTTTCCGAACCCTCTCCAGCTTAATAATATCCCTCCTATAACAGGGTGACCAGAACTGGACACAGTACTCCAAAAGAGGCCTCACCAATATCCTATGCAACCTCAATATGACAAGCCAACTATAATGGAAGGAATGTGGGAACCTCCCTGATAGCTCCAGACTGCAGCATGCATGTGAAAGCACATGTTGCCACAGCAACTCAGAGTCCTCAAATGAATTACAAGACACCGTCACCACTTGTGGTGTTATAGTTTCTGATAAGCTGCCTGAAATTGGTGGAGGTTGATTTAGTGGCAACTTCCAAAAGACAATTGGATGAATACTTGAAAAAGAAAGAATTGATGGACTGTGGGGAAAGAGCAATAGGACTGAATCATGACTTTTCCTAAGGATTGATGGGCTGAGTGGCCTCATTTTGTACAGTAAGACTCTATAATGTTAGACTCAGACCTACCTAGGGTTTAGTGGCTTCATGTAGCCACAGAGGATTTGTCACATAATTGCTAAATGCTTCTCGATGGGGCTACATATGTTAGATGGGCCAATGATCACAGTTAAGCAGTAGTTGTGAGAAATTGATATGGTTCAGTTGATTGTATCTCAGTTTAAGGTAACTGTCTTGCAGATGTTAATGCGGCACAATGGAAAGTTTTGCCTTTGGCAGAGAGTATAAAATGGGTGATATTAGCTCAGTAGCCCTTTAAGTGCCTGTCATGGTGTTTTATTCTCTAGCAGTCAATGGAAGTTGAACACTGGAGAGGTGTTTAAGGTGACCAGACTGATATCATCAGTTTATGCTATCATTCAATGTCAAAGTTAACCCCATAAGTGAGTGAGTTGAAATATGGCACATGTCAAATGTAATGTAATTGGGACAAAGAGGTCATATTGCAGAATTGTTAAAGCACAGAAAGTGGCCATTCAGCCCATTCTGTCAGAGCCTGTTCTCTGAAGAAGCAGTTTATTCATTCCCCTCCCTCCAGCCCTAAGTCCTGTACCTTGTTTGTCTTCAGATAATTATCCAACTCCACGCCAAATGCCTCAATTTTACCAAAGTCTGCACCACAGTCTCAGGCTCTACCTTCCAGACCTTAACCACTAGCTGAATGAAAAATGTTTCTTCCTGTGTCTCCTAATTGTTTTTATTTTTAAAAAAAGTGTTTTTGGTGGTGCAGAACTTAAGGATTGCTAAAAGGTGACAAGAAATCAAAGCATTTTTTTGCACTCAGCAGGACTACATCTACAGACTTGTAGGACAAAGGACAAAAAGGACAGCAATTACATAGCACAAGAAGGGAGTTCTGATTAGTTGGGTCTTGGGTGGCATGGAGATGCAACAGGAACAGTTAACTATCGATCTTAGTTCACAAACCAGACAGCTTGACTGTGATTGGTCAGGCTGCTGCAATGGAAATGCAACAGAGATTGGCAGTTTTCATGGCTGCTGTGTGTTGGTATGTGTTGATTCTAGACTATATAAATGCATCACATTGCAAGCCCGACTACAAATCTTAAATTGGTTTTCTGTGTAATTCATAGCAAAGTCCAGATTATTAAAATAAATGGTGTCCGGTGACAGAATCGCATTCATTAGTGGACATACTGTTCTGAGGTTTTGAACACTGTCAGCATGCTTCCCACTGAGAATGGTCAAATGGCATATTGTTGCATACAGTCTGCCAATTGTTGCCCTACATATCTGTCACTATACCAGCACTGAAACTCGTGCCACTTTATTCATTAGTGCACTCGTCAAAGCATCCTTTTGACTTGAAGAAAACACTTGTGGGTTTTCTGTCAATTAGCAATGTGAGACAGCTAGCTTTACCTGTTGTCAAATGTTTCGAGGTAGCTTCT